CGATACTATTTAGTTTTGTTTTGCAACTCACGAAGTCATTGTTCAGAAGCGCGGAATCCAAAATTAAAGTAGCCACCATGATCGCCAACGTTCGAAAAGAGATCTCACCACAAAAAGAAAAATACAATTTAGTTCATAAAAGGATATTCCGCATGGCAACGATGCTTTATACAATATTATTGTGGTAGGTGAATGTAAATAAAAATGTAATGAATAACCAACAAATACGTTTCGCGAATATTTATCGTCGCCGGAGACAAGATAGTCACGATACTTGTATTTAGAAAGTTCGAGAAAAGCAACAATTTGAGCTTCTCCGTAAACCGTTCATTGTTATGAGAAAGCGACTCTGTAAAGCTATCATATATATTATTATAATTGTTATAATAAGTTTAATACCTATAAAAGACGCGTGTGAACATTTTAAAATTGATACTTTAGACTCGATGAAAACAATACGATATGATACATGACATCATCTTAATAGCAGCTCACTTCTAGAAAAATCCAATACATGTTCCTGCCTACCAGGCACGTAATCGTGATTTGTTTCACGTTCCTCACATCAACACCAACTATGCAAAAACCTCAGTTTTGTATCTCGCATCCCGGACATACAACGACCACTATTTAAGCCTTGACTTGTTTAAGCTATCGCGGAATATGCTAAGAGGAGTATTAAGAATACCCATAGAGCACACTTCACACCATGACACAACACAGCCGATTTAGGTATTACTTAGATGAATTATTTATTAAATGAATTTAATAATTTTTATTGAACCATTTGTATATATATTGAATACCATTTAGTACCAAAGCAGCTAAGGGTTAACAACGATTGGCTGTATCAGTATGAGTGAGATTTTTTGGCCAAAGTCCAAAGCCGGGCTAAAGAAGGGGAACAGCTGCAAACAAGACCAATATATTGAGTTCAGACCGCAAGGGCTGGTCGAAGAATTAATAAAAATAAAAACCAAAATATAAAATAATACAATATATAATATAAACCAAAATGTCGATTTTTAATGAAACGTTCCTAATATTTTAGTACAATATTGGCCTAATGGAATAAAAATATAAAGATAATACAAAAACATACCTAGTTCATTAACACTTTATTTACATCACAAATACACAAAGCAGGTATAATAGGATGTAAAAGGGTAGTCTTACTACCAAAAGTCTTACAATAACCAAGACATAAATACCGGCAACGCACTTGCGAGCCTCTAGGCAATATGAGTGTCCATGGGCGGCGATCACTTAACATCAGATGAGCCTTCTGCCCGTTTGCCTCCCGTTACATAAAACAAAACATAACTATACAATATTTAAAAACTGTTAGTATCACATAACGCACAGTAGTATCGTAAATCTTTTGTAAACTGTGGAGAAACACCATGATCCTATTATACTAATATTGGATTTATGTGATCTGCAGTGATAAAAATACGTATGATCTTCGTCACATAATCAAGTATTAGCACAAACGTTTGATGGATAGTATAGTGAGATAATCAAAAGTGTTGTGTTTAATAATGAAATATGTATAATATTTAATTTCCGAAAATTAAATTACTGAATATCAGTACTTATTATCGATACAAGCTGAAGGGCTCAGTAATCTTATAACGAAGCCTTATTTTAAACTCTTTGAAAATGTGTAACTGCTAAACTGATACTGAAGGTTTTATTTATGGGACAGACAAACGTGCAAGTGGGTTACTTTGAATAAAGTGATAACCGCTGACCATGGACACCTGCAAAGCCGGGAGGTGTAGTGCCGACCTTACAGAGAATAAAAAGCTCTTTTCTTGAAGGTAGAATTTGAAATCTTAATATATTAAAGGTTAATTAAAACCTAAACATAACAATCAAATATACAGTATTTACAAATTTATTATCCTACAAAGTAATAATTAAAAATTTATAAAAATAAAATTAAAAAGTTTGGTGGCAGTGTACCTTTAACGCTGGCAGCATTTCATCGCTGTATTGTGATACTTATTCGTTGAGCGAGGACACCAGCTCTTTAGTAATATATCAAAGTAGATGTAAAGCGAATGTAAATATGACTAGATCACGTACAACTTGTAATATTTATCTTAACGACAGTAGACAAAGTAAATATTATTCAGGTACATACACTCAGTCATTGCACATAACAAGCGAATTCAACACCAACTGCAACGCCCCATAGCACGGACAAAACTCAATTATACACCAACTTTCACCACAATTATTACTTTCCTAGCAATCGCCTTGTTGTAAAACAGTCGCACGAGTCTGGAGTGCACTGAAATAAACATAACATAACCATAGCCGTTCAAATGCCTAATTAGATTTCGCTACGACCTTGTCAGCTGTTTCAAACAATTTTAAGCCTTACGATAATACAAATTCATCGCATTATTGTGGATCACGATAAACTTGGTATTACAGTAACTTTTGCGGCAGAGATAATTTAAGTGATAAAGGCTGCCAATTAATTCCTTACCCTATCATTTTATTGGCGCGGCGCCAGGGCACGGCCTTGTAGAACACCCTAAGTGAAACGTTACATATGTTTCAGTTTTCGAAATAATTTTCATTTCGCTTTTAGGTCAAATAACATATTCGGGAGCAGGTCAACAGAATTTAATCAGGAACACGAGTATCCCATCCACAGATATCATTAGCAGCTGTTAATTCTAGCTGAACATTTTAATGAGAGAAATTAATTAAATTAAACTAAAGTTTGTATACATGAATAAGATAGGACACGAAATGTATTACTCAAATGAAACGAAACGGAGGTCCCGTTTCGTTTCATTGTCAACAGGCGCAGGGTGGTTTTCTATTCACTTGCGGACTGGATTAATATTGCTGAATGTACCGTCGCAGGACTGACCCAGTTTCAGAAAAAATAGTTATTAAAACTGCCCACATTTGTGAGGGCGAGATTGCCTGGTTCAACGAAATGGCCCGCGGTTGAGTTTTTAACGATTTCAATCTGTGTTTTCAATTATACGGCAACCGCTTACAAATTATAAAAATGCTTTTAACTTTTACTAAAAACAATTTTTGCAAGCAATTAGTATTTTTTTCTGTATATTTTAATTAAGTAAATATTTGTATTAACCTACTTTACGATCCAAGTTTTTAGTAATTAAATTTGAAACATCCAGACTAGTTGGCAAGTTATTGTATGCGATTAAATATTCAACGGGAGACCTAAATCAAATCAAAACCTACATAGTGAACTAGGTCACACTCGAAGTGAAAGCTGTAATGAACTAATAGTAACTTAAATCAAATATTTTAGTTTTCATTTATTATAGCTTTTTTAACGTTGTCTCTTCACTGAGACATCATGGAACATTACAATCTAGCCTAACTTAAGACTAATAAGTAATTTAAGTCTAACATAATTTACTAATAAGGATATTTAGGGTCTGTTTCACAATGTACGGATAAGTTCTACAAAGTTCCAAATTAGCTATTTATTACTTATTGGTATGATAAACACTATTGTTGCGTTTCACGACTGTCAGATAGCGCTATTCGTCACATAAAGTCCATCATAAGTTATGACTCCGATCAATGTCAAATAACACAATTTATGTTCCAAATAATTTATGTGTTGCATTGCTATTTGGTACTTTGTCCATACATTGTGTCCCTTAACATAAGAAAATGTCCAATAACACTACTTACAGTCACTATTAAGGGTATGACACTATGTTCTATTTTTTCATTTACTAGTTTAGCATTTCAGATTATCGTGCACCTAATTCACTAATTCAAATGATTCTGTCGTTTTTAATCTTCGCACTAAGCCAGTGGTGGACAAGAAGTTGAATAGCCTCGACATTCACGTTCATTTATTGGTTGAAATACATAAAATAGATGTTTTATATAGAATAATTATTATTGTACCGAATTCGATTGTCCATTTAATTATGATGAAAGGCGTTATAAGATGTAGTAAGCTAATACAAGGAGGGTTCAGCTTTGTTCTGAAGGATGTCTCATTAAATAACATATATGGAACTGGTTTATTAATACTACGTATAAATAAATCTAATACATTTTCTTTATATAACTAGAATTGTTATTTTTTTTAAAATAAATTAACTTTGACGTAGCTCACACACCGTTTCACTGTATATTAATTATTTATTTTATTTATAAAGAATAGTATAAAATCTATAGTCGCAATATTTGTAAAGATGTGAAAACCCTTTATCTAAATAATTTTTATTTTAGTATAGTAGCTTTTTTTGTTCTAGGTATATTCTTCACATATAATTATCAAATCAATGAATACAAAATATTGTAAAAACTATTTTAAAGGAGTAAATTTGAAGTTACTTATCCATTCTTCTGCATATGAAACTACCTTTTGGAAGGGGCAACTAGTCATTTTTTTTGGTAATACTTTTAACTTGAAATTTTGATTTCATAGTGCCTTTTTAATTGTACTAATTGAAATAAATGATATGACTTTGACTTTTTTTTTTTTTTTTTAAAAAAAAAAAAAAAAAAAAAAAAAAAAAAAAAAAAAAAAAAAAAAAAAAAAAAAAAAAAAAAAAAAAAAAAAAAAAAAAAAAAAAAAAAAAAAAAAAAAAAAAAAAAAAAAAAAAAAAAAAAAAAAAAAAGGAAAAAAAAAAAAAAAAAAAAAAAAAAAAAAAAAAAAAAAAAAAAAAAAAAAAAAAAAAAAAAAAAAAAAAAAAAAAAAAAAGGGGGGGGGGGAAAAAAAAAAAAAAAAAAAAAAAAAGAAGCCACCACCCACCAAAAAAAAAACCCCACCGGTCCCCTTGAAAAAAACCTTGGATCTTTGACTTTGAATTCCTATATAAATAATCTATATATTATATATATATATATATATATAGGCGTCGCAGACCTGTAGAGGTAGTCAAAGAAAAAAGGAAGAATTACTTTCTATAAAAGTCTTACTTTCTTTCGAGTATTGCAAAGCTTCTCCCGACTTTCCCCTATCAAAGCACACTCACCCGTAATCCTCAGCTAACCCAGGCTTCTGACAGAACCAGGACCTTGTTAGCTTTGCAGCTTCCAAGAGCACTCCTCCCAAGTCACCGATCCTCATGCCAGTACAGCAACACCCATCACCTTCACCCTCCACAAGAACCACTTTCGACTCTGACTTCGCCACTTTGAATTCTATTTTACCGTCAATTCACCTTTTCATTGGCTATGCGTTATTGACATTTTTATTATATGCATTAATAAGATTTATTGCATTGCTTTAATGTTCTGTCACTTTCACTATACATTAATGTCAGTTTTCACTAAATACTTCAATAAACTTAAACTCTTGTTAAAAAGTATTCCTGTAAGATTAAAAATTGTAAAACTTCCGAATATTGTTTGATGTTGAGACAACTAAGTTTGTAAGAACCAAGAATTCTAAACATAAATATGAAACGAGAAACGCGCTATTAAGCGCAAATAACTTAGCGATATGAACGAAATATTGGATTGTGTAAACCTTGAAGACATTCACTCATTTATTAACGGTCGTATAACGAGTAAATCACTCAACAATTACGCAAGGACAATCAAACATATCGAATACAAAAAAGTGATTCAATTTGGTGTAACTTTCTTAGAACTTTCCAAGTGTCGATAGATTCATAGATGTTTAGTTGTCTATTAAGACAATTTTACAATACAGTTTGATATACGAATTATCGTGAAGAACGATCATTATATGACAATGCAAGCATGTAAAGCAATAAGTATATGCATGATTCAGCAATACTTAAAATGAGATATAATTATACTAGACTTGGCTATTTACTTTCTTACAGTTTAATCAATGTCAAAGGATGTTAAATATATATAATTAAAAACCTAAGTCACAAAGAAAGATGACATCATCGAACATATACGGAAAACCCCAATCATCGCTTCGAATGTTTAATAATATATTGTTCATATTAACTTTAAATAAAATTATATACCAAGTATTTTATGTACCAATGTATGGCAATAAATTATTATTAGTTAAGATTATAATAATTGTTAAACACTATTTTCTCAATTATCGCATTTTTACGGGCCAATGATGTATACCAGTATAGTATGAGCTTAGAAAGGCTTCTTATATCTTTATAAAGCAGATTTTGTTCCCTTTGGAGTAAAGACTCTTGGGTCGTGGGGTTCAAGTGCACAGGCGCTAATTAAAGATATAAGTTGGCGCCTGATAGCTAGTACCGGTGACCCCAGAGCTGGCGCTTTCCTCGCTCAATTAATTAGTATTGCAATACAGCGTGGAAATGCTGCTAGCGTTAAAGGTACACTGTCACAAGGACCAACCTTTTTAAATTTCTTTTTATAAATTTTTATTATTAATATGTTGGTTAAGAAAATTGTAAATAATGTATATTTGATTGTTATGATTGCTAATAAATATTTGTTATCTAACTTTTGTCAAAGTTCTTATACCAATAAAGCATAATTCATATTAGCAAAAACGATTTTTTATGTGATGTAAAACATATTTTTTGAATATTCCAATGGGACCCGCCACGTACTAATTGCTTTGTATATAGTGTAGATTAGTTTAGAATGCTTGTGGCGGCTTCCATGCGTCGGGTAGTTTCTCTCCCTAAAATATGGCGAGGAGGCCGATGGCTGGCCATGCGTCATACTCGTGAACGGGTGCTACTTGTGGTGACTGGTCGTACTTGAATTCGTGTATGCGGATTGCGGTGATGTTAGTTGTTTCGACTATGAATTTGCGTGTTGTTCCCACGAGAATGTACGTGCGTGCACCTATTTCACCATGTCTCCTGCTGATAGAGGACAAATCTTTTTTTTAAATTTATTTTATTATTTTTATTATTTTTTATAACTTAAGCTGTCATGTGGAACATGATGTAATGGTTGCAGTTTCTTACAAACTTGGCGATTAAAAAGAGTGGCGAAGAGTTTATTCTTCTCTTCCGTTCTACGCCCTTGATTTGAGAACTGGCAGTAAATGTAAAATTAGAAGCATTTAACGTACATTTCTTTATTGACGTTCATAAGTGTACATTGTGTTACCTAGATGAATAAATGATTTTTGACTTTTTAAGATTGTTCTGTGCGAAACCATGATTGTTGACACGAATCACTCCATAGATTCCGGTTCTAGACGTATCATGTCTCAAACATCTTGAGTGTCATCACTTGCCAATAGTCATATACTATTTCAATGTCACTCACACGACACCAATACATGATAGCCGTATTAAGTGTCCGTCTAGTGTTGCTTTAAGCATTTAGGTAAATGCACCGCTAGAAAGCTATCTAAGCTTCAGGATTTAGACAAATACAAATCTTAAGATATGTTTTAATCTATAATTTGACTAGGTTAAAGCAATTGATATATAATGGCTTTCAATATTTAAATTTAGTCTATTAAATTGTGGTGATGGTGAGTGGTTGCCTGGAAGAGATCGCTCGAAAGCGATAAGGCCGCCGATTGACATAATTTTTAATTAATTATGTCAATTGTATTATGTTTTTGCAACGAAGTAACATACGATATACGTATACTTCGAATTAAGTCAATGTATCACTTTTGCTTACAAGATGATGGGGGGGGTAAAGTGCAGTAAATCTGCTTTCGTAATACTTGAACGGCCCCCCATCACGTAACATCAGATGAGCCTCCTATCCGTTTATCCTCTGCTCTTAAAAAAACTTGATAAAAGGTCAAAGTCCACGTTAAAAATCTAGAATTATGAATACCCCAATTGGTAAATAATTGATTACACAGATTGCATAAACAATGAAACCGAAAGTAGTTCACTTCGAACCGCTTGAGTAAAACCAGGAAATGAGGCAAGGCCGCCGATTGACAACAGATTATTGATATTTAAGTGACATTTATTAAAGAGCTTCATTTATTTTCTTATTCTCTCTTGTTTAAAAATGTCAGTCACTTATTTGTATCAAGGACATTTTTTTTAAAGCATACTATCGAACTAAAGTTTTTGATTTATGGCAGTAAAAAAGCAATTGCATTTTACATTTTTCACTTATATTGACAATGTTTCTAGTTATCTTAATTGATATTATTTATACTTTGACTGCAAATCGGTTCACTTCCTTTATAAGTCCAAAAACAAAGACTCTTCAGTGGAACAGTAATGAAATTGCATAATATAAATTATGCATAGATATAATTATATATGCAATTAGCGAATTGTTTGTTATATAAATGAGAAAGGTTAAGGTAATATATAGATCTCTGGACGGCCTTCGTCATTAATCACTGCAATAGTTTTAAGTTATAAACTTCGGCGTTTGATATCTTAAACGATTTTAAAAAGGAATATTTTTAAAAAAGTATAAAATTTCAACAGATGAGTAATGTATGTACTGTCTAGAATTAAACAAATGCCCGTATCAATCTCCACTAGATCATTGTCCGATATGTCATAATTGATAAAAAAATTGTTTGACTGCTCTCAAAACTATATTTAAGACTGAGTCATGATCGCTGAAGCACTCAAAACGTCAGTTTATGTTAAAGTTATAATCGCATTTATATTGCTTGAACAAGATTTATTTTAACATCAATTATTAATTAAAATACGTCATTTATAATAACCTTTAATGAAGTACTGATTGAATTACAATTAAATGATTACTTTATCATTATTTTAAGAAATGTGAAATTCTACCAATTTTTTATCCGAGGTTTAAATGTATTTGCGCATCCCTCGAAAGGAGCATGGGTATGTAAAACTCGACTTACACCAGAATCTTTGCTATTCAGAGACTAGGTGAGTAATACCCACTAAAACCACCTCGGGTACTTACAAGGTCGCAGTAGAAAGGTCCCCAGTCGCTCTCACATTCCACCGGGGCCTCAATGGCAAAGCTGTTATAAACATCCGATGCAGTATATTCTGCATAGGAGGTAGGAGATGGCTGGGATCTTCTCCTATTTCCTCCTCGCCTTCTTACCATAGGATTCGTGAAACGCTACCAAGAGATTGTTAATATTTAATGTTTCACGATATTGTCATCAGTTTTAAATTTAAAACAGTATATAGTAGTTTGTCCCAAAAAGACCAAAAAACAAGGGCAGACCAAAAGAGCGATGGGCTTTCGGAAGGATAGCTAGCAAAAATTGGACGATGACAGCAAAATTAGCATAGGGTGGAAAAAGGCCTCCTCCCGCACGGGGGCCGCAATATATATATACCTTTTTGTATATTATATGTAAATAAGTTGTAGATAAATAACGGCGTACTATTATATAGTAGTTTTCTATTTATTTTAGAAATTATTCCAGTGTGACAAAAACGCTTCAGTACCTAACCTACGTCTATAACACAATCAAGTATCCATTGCCAGCGAGCGGAGATGTCGCCGCCTTACACTGGACAAACTCAATTAAAACTCAACTTAATTACATTTGTAATAAAACATGTTATTCATCAAATTCAGCTGTGAAACGGTTCGTAACATAGAACAGTAAAATTTTATTTTTACGACATGATTAAAAATGTGCAATTTAGAAATGCATAGTCGAAATGCATCAACAATATTATTCATAGATTTTATAGATTCCTCTCTTCCTCGACTGCGTGGTAATGGTTATATCACAAGAGGAAAGCAGACTTAAAATATGATAGCTTGATGACATTATAATCAAACAAACAATACAGAACAGGAAACCTGGGAAAAGCGATAAAATAAATAAAAATACACTAAATTATTAATCATATCAGTTTGCCTTACTTAATTTACAAAGAGATAATCTATTAAATTTTATCTGTTACCATATATATATTACTAGCCGTTTCGCGCCCGCTTTGCTGGACGAATTAAAATAAATTTTATGTTTCATTATTTTATTTTTTTTCATATTTTTATTATTCTTCTTTTTAACTTCCCGCTAAGAAAATTGAGATATTTCGAAAATCGAGTTTTTAACAGATGTTGACGTTTAGAGGTTCTAGGAAGCCTCCCCGAATGTTTCCGCGGTGAAGTCCGTATGGATAATAAGCAATAAAAAAATGAAGGAACGTTGGAGTTGGAAAAATTTCGCATCGAATGGTGGTAGTTTCATGTCGATACGATCAGTGGTTTAGGCGTGAAGGAGCCTCAAACGAAGACCATTTTTCTTTTATATATATATAGATTAGTTAGAAATCTGTTACCATGGTAACAAGCATCCGATCTTTTCCCACTTTTTAACGCCCAGTTTGTATAAAATAAAAGTTTTTTATATTAAAACATCTGACATGCTAATACCACAATTTTTACGTCCTAAACTACTCGATTAAAAGAAATATATATTGAGAATCTTTAAAACATTTGCTATTATGTAAAATGCGAAAAATTATTATTTTTCATTTCGTCACGCACATAGTTAGAAATTTTCTATTATATCACGCAAAAATGTTTACTTAAACGTGTTTTAACATATTATGTATAATCTAATAAAACTCGTGATATATAACTGCGATTGGACTATGATTCGTAATATTTACCTAGTACTTCTTACGGAACGTAAGGTGTTTAATATAATGCGCTCCATAAATCGACGAGTTATGACTTAGATTTCGGAATAAAGCCTAGCCTAGGCGTAGTAGCTACAAAGAGTTGTCAACGTTAACCATATGCCGATAACGCATCATTTCGTATTTTGGTCACACAATACACACAACACGAGAACTTAGAGAAGCTCATCGTGATTAGCAACACCGAAGGCGAAAGATCACGTGGAGGGTCGCCAACGAGATGGACTGATCAAGTCAAAGTCTCCTCTTCGTCAAAAAATAACACAAGACCGAAATTATATTTATACACAGCTGACCACGATACTTAGATATGAGCTACCGACCCAGAAAGAGACTAAAGAGTATTTGACAATCTTTAATATATAAAACCTCTTAGTTGTAATAATTATTAGTTATTGAAATTATACTTCTTTTGGCGCGTTAGGGAAAAGTGATAAGAGTAAATTTTTACGATGCGCGCGCACACCGTCACAAAATACCGACACCCTGAAGTTAGCTATAGTCAACATTTTAGTTTTTTCTATTGTTAGTGTCGTTTTTTCTACAAACGTAGAATAATATTTTTGAAAAGATTTTTATCTTGTTACGCCAAAGAAGTATAACTTCTAACGCGTGTACATAAGTACACACAAGTTATTTTTATTTTATTCACACTTTTTGTACATAATAAAATAACAAACTTGAAAAACAGGGTCACTACTAAGAGATCCCTTCCAGGCCACCCTAATTAAATAAAACAGTTTTTTTCGTCTTCCGTTCTGTAATCGTTTACCGCAAACTTATTTCCTTCATATCTTACCGTTCAGCTGTCATGTTAGTATATAAATAAGTCTCTAACTTTTATCATTTTTGACTATATTTCTTTCGTAACCAATAGATTACCACTCGTTGTTTTATAGAACTCGAGATCGATGTAACACACGGTCTTATATAATTTGGTTGAATACTTGTTTGCTATTGAAAAATACCTCCATTGTTTCATTCACAATAGCATTGGAGTATTGAGTATGAAGATTATGAAATAAAATATTCGTTGTATGGCTTTTGATAATGGTTTAGGGTTTGACATTTTTTGACGTTCATAAGTGTAAATTTTGTTACCTATATGAATAAATGATTTTTGAAATTAATAAAAAAATTATTCATTTCAAGTCACATAATATAATATTACAGTCAAAACAATAATAAAATAATCCCTTAATGCTGTAATAAGCGCATATTAGTATAAGTATTTTATACATTATGACCACTAATCAGCATGTCTCTTCATATCTTACTCGCTATACTATACCAAACTCCGGCTATCCTTCTTAACTCATACTCCCAACGCCTGTTTTCCCTTTCCTTCTCTTTCCATCCCTATGATACCTTTTACCTCCGTTATCTGTTTTTTCCTTTCTTCTCTTATTACGTGTCTCATTACCATATCAGTCTTTTATATGTAATTTTTTTTGACAGTCACGATATCTCCCTTGTAATGTAAACTTTATTTATGTAAATTATATACAAGTATCAAAATGATCTTAACTTAAAAAAATTATATATTATTATACCATTTGTCTTAACAAGTAGAATGGCAGAGATTAAATTAGAGTTTTATTAAAAAATTAAAGAATTTAGAAATCCCAGAAGGGAAGGGGAAGGATTTCACGGTAAATAAATTATGTGTCCGTAAGTATCTTAAAACATAAATTCAGAAGGTTATTTACATAAATCGCGCATCCAATTTTTTGATATTATAAACTAAAGTGCCCTTGGCTTCTGTATACATTGGATTCTCCAATAAATTGTGTAAATCCTGAGGGAGGATGTATATTTATCGAAATATAATAATCATTGTTGAAGACGTCAAAAAAATCTTGCCAAAATTCACGAAGTCCACGGGAGGTAACGGTTGCTAGTCTATACTTATATTATAAAAAGGAAAGATTTGGTTGATTGTTTGGATTGAATAGGCTCCGAAACTACGGGAATGATTTGAAAAATTCTTTCACCAATAGAACTCTACACTATCCTAAAAAAGTTTAGGTAAGATTGTATAAAATTACAATATTGAATAAGGTGTGAGAAATACCAATACAATATAACGCGTATGCCGCCGAAACTATTGACAATAGAGCAAAGTGATGTTCTATAGTTTTATAGAAGGCTACAAAATCGGGATAAAAATACTTTGGAATTTAATAGTCTTTTTACCGAAAAAAGCTTTAGGCTGCCAAGCACAGCTAGTATATGATACGTTCCTCCCGGATACTTTAAATCATGTATCGATAAGCCAATTGAAAATCGTCTCTCCTTTTAGGGACTGTAAGAAAGTGGCAATCAGAGCGAATCGTTTACGCATTTCACGCACGAGACACGCACTCCAGCGCATGGAGAAAACGCGTAAAACATGGCACAATATCAAATACTTATTGAATGTATTGAATCTTTCTTATCTATCGAGGCACTTTGAGTGATTAAATAATCTATTATATCTGTTAAATTAGCAAATGAATAAAATTTAAGTCTTTTTTATTATTTGCTTAATTAAGAGTACAAAAACACAAAAACCAGTAAAGAGACCTTGTTGCCTGAACAGCTACACCACAATACAAATTCCTTTACTTGGAAACTAAAGAGTTAACAGAAGAAAAAAATACATTCAACGCAAAAAAAAATATAGACTTTTATTAAATTTTTGTATGAAATACGACTATTTCATGAGATGTTTGGCTATTTCATACTGCAATATTCTTCGAAGTTTAAGTTCGAGTGCAGAACAAGTCTCAGGTTTGCTACGAAATAAATATACGCTATTTAATTAAAAAAAATTACATGTCTAATAACTTTAAAAAAACTAAGTTTACGTATATGTAAACTTAGTTTTTTTAAATAACTAAATAACATTATTATACCATATCTGAAAGACAGAGCTAATAATAACAATCGTGTATTATGGGTAGTGAGATTCGTGATGAAGATATAAAATTTAACAATCGAACGTGTTAACGCGGCGGAAGACAGAAATTCCATTTTTAACTACGATTAAGTAAATTAATAAATTTAAAAGTGAGTTCACTTATACTTATTATAAGTGTGGCAGAAGGATTGTGAACCTAATCAGGTGTTCCTATGAATGGTGTGCATTTCTTTTTGGTCTATGAGCCTAATCATAACTTGGACGTAATCAGCTTCTGTGTCTGATACACGCCGTTCACTTTTTTGGGTGTAAGTTATGCCGGTTTCCTTACTTGCGTATTCTTACACCGTACGACCGAGTGTTCAATATATATATAATCAGGTATGCCCATTGGAGCACAGTCAGGGTTCGAATCTACGACCTCAGGGATGGAGCTGCGATGGAGATGGATCAATAATTTACAATTAAAAATATTACTTCGTTACTGGAACTCAAAAATAGATTTACATGTCACCTTCTGTCAGTGTCAAACAAAG